AAGAACCCAAATAAATAGCGCCCCAGACAACATAGCTGCCATTGGATTCCATGATGAAATCTGGTTGATAGCTGAAAATTTCCCATCTGTTCCAGGTTTCCATGTTTCAAAGTCACCAGTAGATTTCTGAATTTCATCCATGAAGTAGAGGGCCTGGTTGTAAGAAGATGACCGATGCAGGTGTGCCCCATTTAGTCTCTGCATTGCCATGTAATATATATTGCCCCAGAAGATTGACTGAATAGATGAGGAGGAGAGACATTTATTCTCACCACATTCCATTGACGAATACAGTCTCCCTGAAGAATCTCTGGATTTCAGAGATCTAGAAGAGGGGGAGTTTCAGAATCAAGTTAATCAAATCATAGTGAAACACAAGAATTGAATCTCCTGTACTGAGGCAAGTTGGGATTTTTCCAAATTTATGATAAAACCAAGGCTTGTTTGTAGGGGGCGAGAGATAGGATGTTGCCAATTACACAATGGAGCAAATGCCTCAAACCCAAATGAAGGCCGTAACTGGTTTCAGGAACATTATGAGCTGCCTGTTTTCCAAGGGAGAGAAGGTCGACCCATTAGAGTCTGTTGCATGAACCATTAGGCCAATTCTAATAAAGATTTAATTTGCTGTGGTCCAGTGTTTGGCTGTAAGATTTCCAACACTGTAGGAACATTTTAGCTTTCAAATCTTTATTTGTTAATGTAGCAAACCTCTAGTCTTGACAAGGACTTTTCTGCGTGGTAACTGGAACTCTGGAACAAGGAGCTGTAAAGTGAATAGCTTTTTCTCTACCCAGTAACTGGACGACACACAGTTCTGGGAGTATAACTGGTGCATGGATCATAGTTATGGCTTTTGTGCACAACCCCCAGCATTGGGGCCTCCATACAACATAACACAAACCAATCCCAGGCATCCCAGTGTTTGGGAGATAATTGATTTCAAGACCGGTAACTCAATTATCGCTCAATTAAAGGGAAACATATACAAAACATACAAAACACCCCAAAAATACATCCAAACTACACAGGAACCCTATACGTCTTATATCACCAAATATAAAACAAGACAGCAAAAAAAGAGTGTGGTGCACCGTCGCAAATAAATATATATTGTGTGTGGTCACACCAAAGTTTTAAAACTTAGTAAAAATACGTTAGAATACTTCTTGTTCAAAGTATAAATACCGAATTCAGGATAGAGATAAAACTCTTAAGATATTTAATCACTTGAATAAAAATAACATAGAAAACCAACATAGCATAAAACCACACACAAATGGAATAAAAAGGGGGGATAATATTGCACTCACAAACATAAAATAAAAACAGGCACATCAGAAGGTCCAAAGACCCTTCTACCATATACAGCCATATACAGTAGTGGTCCCTCAGCGTAAGTCCCGGTTGGAGTCTGCCCTGGTTGGTGAAATATTGCCAAAAAGTCAGCAGGATGTAGGTTCTCCTTGGATAGTTGTCAGGGTATCACTGAAGACGCTTGAATACCGACTGGTTTCATCAGCAAGACTTTCTCAAGGTAAAGCAGGTACAGACTGTCTGAAAAATCTCAGACTTTTAAACCCCACCAATGATGTTCAAGATTGATCTCACGTTTCCTGTTTTTTATCATTCAAAAAGATGGTGGACTGGGATCATGTCAGTGACAAAAATAATCTCCATTGGAGTAAAGTGTCTGAGAAACATTCCTGACAACTTTGCCCACATTCCCTTCCAGGTGAACATCATATGCTTGGATGTGAGATCAAATAAATCATAAAACATATCTTGTAAAGAACACCAAAATGATGGTTATCTAGGATCACCATCATAACCTAATAGTTTTTTATGTATAATTAGGCATGGGGGGCCTAACAGGTAGCCTCCAACAAGATGTACTCCATACTCTAGGTACAAGGTAGCTCCCTCCCACAATACAACCATGGGGCATATGTTTCATACTGTCAAGAGTGGGGAGGGTGGGGGGGGGAACATCTGGAGTGTCGTGCACCCTCTTAGTAGATTTATCAGGATAGTGTCCTGGTCGGGGTGTATCAATTCCCCGTTGAGTTAACAGAGGATGTGGAGGGTAATTTCGGATAAGTAGGATCTCAGCAACGGATAACTATTCAACCAATCAACATGAACATAGTATTAGAGAATTACAAAGCATTCAGTATGCAGTTTGTCGGCATATTCCTGCGGTCACGTATAGTCCTTGGCTTGTTTGTGGAGATATCTCCTGCAGCTGGACTATGTGTCACAAGTCCGTCAAGTTACCGGTGGTCCAGGTGGGTGTGAAAGCTGGGATCCTTGACGGATCCATGTTGCGGAGATGGTAGGGTCGATGCGTCCTATTCGGGTAGCAGCTTCAGGCTGCTCATAGCGGCCTCCAGTTCTTGTGGGTTCTTGGCCCTGTAGGTGCCTCCCTGGTGGGTGAGTATGAGATGTCTAGAGTTTCCCCAGCGGTAGGTCACATCCCGGTCTCTTAGGATGTGGAGAAGGGGTTTCATAGATCTGTGCCAAAGTAGTGTCTTTTTGGTTAGGTCAAGGAATACAAGCATGGATAAGACTTCGAATTGGATGGGGGTTTTCCATCTCACTGCTGAAGAGATTAAGGCTCTATCTTGCATGGTTTGAAAGCGGAGAATAAGGTCCGCCGTGGCAGTGTTAGGGGTGTTTTTTGGTGTTTGTAGCCTTAACATGCCGTCCAATTTAAGTGTCTTTGCCTGTTTGGTCGGTAGCAGGGTGGCGATGAGTCGCCTTATGTAATGCGGCATTTCCTCCGTACTCACTGTGTCAGGGATGCCCCTCAGTTTAAGGTTGTGCCGTCACCTCTGGTCTTCCAGTGTATCGACCCTGGCTTCCATTCTCCTCTGGGCCAAGTTGAACTCCTCAAGCCTCTGCTCCACTTTAGTGATTCTAGATTCTTGGCTGCTGGAGGTGGCCTCTAGGACTATGAGTTGTGTGAGTGCCCCATTTACTGTCTCTTTAAATTGTGCAATATTGGCTGCTATATTGGAGCGCAGCTCTGTTAGCATGAATTGCAGCATATCTTTAGTAATTGGTTCTTGGCCAGCAGGTGGGGTAGGTCGTACCTTCGGCACTGCTCCCAGCATAGCTCCTCCATCCAGATCTGTATGGAAGTCCTCGGAGGAGTAAGAGGATGCTTCATCTGGAGGCGCCATATTGGGCCACGAGGTCTGCTGTGCGCGCCGCAGGAGATCGCCGATATCTCGGCTGTTAGATGCCTGGTCCGACTTGTTTTTTTTCGATTTTCTGCCCATGTTTGTGTGTCCACCTCCAGGGTAAGTGCCAGCCTGTTTGCCTCAGTTTTTGCGGGTCAAATTGGCCGTTTATCGCTCGCTTGTGTCGGAGCTCTTTAGACTTGCATCTGGCCGGGTCCGTTGCTAGCTCCGCCGACGGTGATAAATATTAAAATAATATTTTCATAAAAATTATCAAAAAATAATTTAATAATTTTCATTATATCAAAATTGATATCTTGGCACTGTACCCTGAAATTAATAATATAATAAAGCTGAGAATTTCCCACTATTTAATTCTCTTAGATCCTAGAAGCCGATCATCAGAGGATTTTATTCCACGCAGTGATCACAATTCTTTATAAAAATATAGTTTATTGTGACAATGATAATAAAATAATAATAATATGTAACATGCGTGATAATAATCAGTGAATATTTAGTATAGCATAGGTATACAACAGAATTGCAATGTTTAAACAAATTCAGCGTCTACAGCATCAACTGTCAAGAACTTAGAAAGATTTATGACAGCTTAGAAACCAACTTTACACAGAATTCCACAGAATACAACAGCGCAGCAACTTCGGCTGACAGTTAGACCACACTGATTAACTCTTTCAATGCTGGCTAGAAGCCTCCTAGGCATACAATATCCTTTTGTATTGCAATTTTCAATTAAACAATGTTTATAGCAGTTAACTCAAAATGGTGATGATTTTTACATAATTTTGGCTTATTTAAATGGCCAATATAACTCAAATTTGCTGTCAATTTCAAAGGCGTACACCAGTCTTCGTGGCGGCAATTTGATTAATTTAAAATTGACACCCCTAACCTTAATTTAACCCTATTTCTTACAATGGGACCTTGTAAGATTTAGAAAGTAAAATTAATTACTAAGTTTTATTTGTCACTGGTGTCTGGCTTGCTTGGTGAAGCTTACATTAAGAAGAGTATTAAGAAGAGTATTCCACCCGCCCCCCCCCCTTCTCTGTTAGACTCATTGACTTGTTTACATAACACATTCCTTAGCTCAGACTTGAAAGTTACAGAAAGCAAGAAATTATGTGTCTTTCTTAGCCTGAAGATACCAAAATGGAGTTAGATTTGTTCTGAGTGTGATTGGCAATATACACTTTTAACTTCTATCTTAGCACAAAATGTCTGCCGATATAAATATACTGACAGTTATATTGGATCATACCTTAGATAAATACCATCAGGGACAGAAGACAATTTTGTGTGACAAATTATATATGAACTCCATGAGGACATCTGCAATAATGCCAATAATAATAATAATAATGAAATACAACAATATCAGTAATATGAAAACTCTGTAGAGTCAATAGCGGGGACACTCCTGATTTTAATATGTGTGCGACATTGTCGGTCCTCTATGGCCGTGATTCTGGCAGACAAGATTCTCTGGTGAGTTTGTAATTGGTGCATTGAGTTCTTTACTGTGGACAAGTTAGCTTGTGTGTCCTTTACTTGTTCCTTGACTGCCTGCAACTCGTTTTTAAAGATAGCTGAGTCAGCAGCAAGTATCTTGTGGATGTCAGCCAGCGGGACCTTCAATTCTCGCTTTGTGGTTGGGACTGAATCGTCGGAGGATTCTGCAGGCATGGTGTGTGTTACCTAAGAATTTGACGACACCTCCACTTTCCGGCAGTTTGGCTTGGGGCCGGCCTCCTGCAGGCATTGGTCTTGGCTGTGCAGGCCTTTGCAGCATCACCCCAATGTCTCTGTTTTCTGATCCAGAGATGGAATTTTGTAATCTGTGGCCCATTGCCAGCATGCAAGCTTGTGCAAGGGATTGTGAGAGAGGGAAGCGGCTCTTGCCAAGTCTCCACTGAGAAAGGCCTCAAGGCCGGGGATTGGCAGTGGGGTAGGCCCCGGATCTCCGTTGCCATTTTGGCTGCTTTTGGGCCTGGAAAACAGGCATCAATCAATGCAGCTTGGGCAGCAGAGTTCAGGTATGTGGTGTTTAGAGCTGGATTAGCGTCTTGTTCGCCGATATCGGTCAGATTGTCAGTTTTCTCTGTGGAGTTTAAATAAATGGTGTCTGGTTAGGTCTGCAAGCAGGCTCCGCTCCCCTGTAATTTTTTAAAATTAAAAATAAACAAAAATTAAGCGCTACACTATTTTTGAAGTTAAATAATAAATGGTTTCCTGTTACATAGTTACACAGTTACTTGATAAAAAGCATACATTGTCAATGTTGAAAAAAAGTTCAACCCTGATGCCCATTCTTTTATGCTGTTGATTAAAAAGAAGCTAAAAACCCAATTGAAAACTGTCACAGCTTACCTTAGTTGGAGTCTGAATTGCAGAGATGTTTGCGCACCCTTGCAGATAAACACAGCCCACGGTAACCAGATAAAAAGCTACCTGGGCTGTGAATTTGTGCACGGGGGCTTAGGCAGGAATAGTAACCGGGTACAAGAAAACAGACCAGGGCAAATCCAGAAGAGTAGCCAGACACGGTTCCAAAGGTCAGGGCAGCAGGGGTCACAAGCCAAGTCAGTCTTAAAGGACCACTCTAGGCACCCAGACCACTTCAGCTTAATGAAGTGGTCTGGGTGCCAGGTCCTTCTAGGGTTAACCCATTTTTTTTATAAACATAGCAGTTTCAGAGAAACTGCTATGTTTATTAATGGGTTAAGCCTTCCCCCAAAACCTCTAGTGGCTGTTTCATTGACAGCCACTAGAGGCGCTTGCGTGCTTCTCACTGTGATTTTCACAGTGAGAGCATGCCAGCGTCCATAGGAAAGCATTGTAAATGCTTTCCTATGCGACGGCTGAATGCGCGCGCAGCTCTTGCCGCGTGTGCGCATTCAGCCGACGGGGCGGAACGAAGGAGGAGAGCTCTCCACCCAGTGCTGGAAAAAGGTAAGTTTTTACCCCTTTCCCCCTTTCAGAGCCGGGCGGGAGGGGGACCCTGAGGGTGGGGGCACCCTCAGGGCACTATAGTGCCAGGAAAACGAGTATGTTTTCCTGGCACTATAGTGGTCCTTTAAGCAACAGGAAAGGGAAACATGAAACAATGAACTGACCCTGCCCTCAGGGAGAAGCAGTGTTATATAGGTGGATAACAAGTAATCTGCCTCAGGTGGACTTAGAGTGATAGACAGCAACCACAGGTGAACTCCAACCCCCAGTGCTGCAGACAATACCAGGATAAATATCAGGCTGAAACAAGAACTGAAGTGTGGCTCAGAAGCAAAACAGCAGGCCCAGGACACAGTGCATATCCTCTGTTGGGCACGTCTGGGGCAACCATGTCTGGATGTCACGGTTAGAAACGTGACATAAACATTTTCAAGTATACCACAAAAAGGGAAAAACCTTCTTAACCTTATAAAGGTAATCAGATTTTTTATTGGATGAACAACCTATTTACATACATATCAATTAAACCCTTGAATATTCTGTTCCTATCAGCTCTTCCCCATCAGTATTAATGTTTGGGAGCTTGTAACACATTCCTAATATTAATAGATATCCACTGTTTCCTCTTGTGCATATTTCTACTCATAAGGCTTCCACATCCTGATCTCTATCATCACATACAATTTCTTTTACACTTGGCTTCAAATCAGGTTTAATATAAAGACATATCCTGCCCCCTTCTCTATTTTTTCTATCCTTTCTCAAAAATGTATATCCATTTAAATTAATAGCCCGATCAAATGTTTCAACCCATCACGTCTCAGTTGTACCAATTATGTCATACTGCCCCTTGTATGCCAATATCTAAAGCTCCTCTATTTTCCTACACAAGCTTTTACTGAAAGATTTAAAATTTTACAATACAATGAAAAATCAGTATGAGATAAGTAAAATATTGATACCATAAACAAACAGGGTATAATGTAATACATAACTATCTGGAAGTAGTAAATTATTAATAAATGAACTGTAGAATAATATGGTTCAAAATATCTCAATGTATATATAACATTTTGGTCAGGTCACAAATTTAAGTTGTACTTCTGTCTGATGTCTTTTTCTTTGATATCCTATTCATATCTAAGAAGGTCAAGTGTATGGGAAGGCAACCTGAACATCAATTCACATTGTATATTTTCAAACAATATGTTAATAACTTCCTTAATATCCGGAACTACAGGAGACTTCTAGTGACATGGAAGAGGCATATTGACTGAAATTAGAATATGGCCTGAGATCAAGCTTTATGTTTAGGTAATCAGTTATCTTTTTGAACAAGCATAGTTCAGGTGTTAAAGTAATTATGGAGTCATCAATAAGTCTAATTAAAAATAAGAATGTCATCCCAGTAAGACTTCAGTTTAGGGCATTTCCACAGCATATGGCATAGGGAAACCACCTGACCACATTCCCTCCAACACTTATTAGTAGGTGCTAATTGTAGCTTACAAAACATGAAGGGAGTGAAATACCATCTGTGTATAATCGTGTAGTGGGATTCCAAATGTGACACACACTATGTAATGCCCCTTAAAGCTAATGTAAAATCTAACCAATAATTCAGCTCATGTTCCTTACCTAATTAATTTCCCATTTAGTTATTGATTCAAATTCTTGTGTTACCAATTCAGCCAACAAACCATAGCATATAGAAATTGTCCATTTCCAAGCAGGGTCCGAGACATAGATTCTTTCAATGAGAGACATGTTTAGTTTATAATCACTTGGGCCCTGTCTGGAAAGGCCACACCTAACAGTCACGGAGTCAATCATTCTCTCATGCATAATTCTTCTGAACTGTCCAAATCATATTTAGCTTTCAGTTGAGAAAACGAGAGAAGTATGATAGAATTAAATAAATGTTCAATATGTGTGATTGAATGAGATGACCAGTAATCTATTGGGAATATCTATTTTCTGCACTAATATGGGAGTTGCTCTGGACCACAATGAAGAGGGTCTAAGTTCCCTGTACAAAACATCCCAAGCTTTAATGGTAGTTTTTGTAGATGGAAACATATTTGCTAATCACAGTCTTTGATGTGAGGGCAGCCATAACACCTCTTTTATGGGATGTGGAAGAATCTTGCCCACCTCCATCTCAAGCCAGTGTGGGCATTTAGAATCTAGATTAAATTTGATGGCAGCGTGGAAATAATTAATGAAATCTGGCAAAGCTATACCTCAACTAACCCTGGGCTTTTGAAATATAGCCAGCATTTAGTCTTCCTAACCAGGAGATTTCGAGATTCCACCACCACTCCAAGCCCTTTCCAAAAGGGGACCAGAATTTACCCAGGTTTTAATCATTCATCTTAGACAGGTTTTTGCATAAGCTGATACCTAAGTAAGAGATGTAAAAGTCTAGTCAAACTTGAAATGAATTTTTAGAGTGTGCAATTCAAACCATGGGACAAAGGAAGTAAGGGCTTGAGTTTTACTTGTATTTAATTTATAGTAAGAAACGTCACCAAATCCATGCAGTATTGACATTAGAGGTGAAATCAAGGATATGGGATTATGTTCTTTGCCCCCAACTGCAATGCCCTTTAAATCATTTCAGCCACGGGTTCCAGTGCCAGCACAAAGAGAAGCGGCGACAATGGGCACCCCTGTCTGGTCCTGTTAGACAGTGTGAAACTATCTGATGTAAATTGTTAGACAGTGTGAAACTATCTGATGTAAATCCTATAGTGACGACCTTTGATGTTACAGAGTAATAAAGATCAAACACTGCTCTGACGTAGGGTATCTTCTTTTAAAGAGTTCCAATTGATTCTATCAAATACCTTATCTGCATACAAGAGAGGAGCAGAGAAGGCATTCTATCAAGCTTTGTAGATTCGTACTGTCCGGGGCCTGACGGTTCAGGATAAAACCTACCTTGTCCTAGTCTATTAATAATGGGAGAATTTGTGCAAGTCTTAAGGCCAATATTTTTGAATACATATTGGGGTCATTATTAATTAGGGATATGGGATGAAAGTTTTGACAAACCTTTTGCTCTTTACCAGGCTTGGGCAGCTTAACAATCTGTGCGCACAATGCCTCCCAGGCTTTTCACCAGTTTTCTAATAATGATTAAATAGCTCTGATAAATATGGGGTTAAAATGCCTGAGAAGGACCTTTGGTAAGCCATTGTATAACCATCAGCTCCCGAAGCTTTACCATGTGGTATTACATTAATGGCATTTAATGCTTCTTTAGACAAAATAGGTAAGTCAAAAGTATTTAATCTGTCGTCCGAAATTTGTTTCAAGGGAACTTTATCCAAAAATCAATTAATTCTATCTGATGTGGGTTATATAGGGTCTAAAGCCAGATTGTACAATTTCTTGTAGTATCTTGCGTTGAAAGGTCAAGGTTACTATAGCGTAGTTGGGGAGCACCAAGATCTGCAGTCTGTGTGGGTCCGGTTCCGAGTCGGGACTAACCCTGTTCTCGTCGGCCAGGGTGCATAAGTCGGGGTATTGCGTCCTCACCTGTACCCTTAGTTCCATACCAGGGATATCCCACCCTTCCCGCACCCAACCACACGGTTGCCATGTCCTGAGAATGTGTGCAAAGCTTTATTCTGCAGACGAGAAGGCCTCAAGCCACCGTCCAGGGAGGTAACATAGGAATCTGCAACTCCTAGGGGAAGGGTGAGATGAGTAGAGAATTTGTAGGAGAGGTAAGAATAGAGATTTGGGCAAAAAGAAGTCAGGGCATGCCCAGGTCCCTCCCAGGTCCCCCCCAGGCTCCCACTTGCATCTAGTCATCCTCATCTGTCTGTGCGGTTCCAGGTTCCAGTGGGTGAACCTCTCTTTCCCCAGAGAGTGAAGCAGGAACAAGCTCTTAAAAGAGCTTAGTGATTATTCAAGGGAGGCTGTAGCAGATTCCCTCAATTTAGAGTCCTGTCTCTTATTGGGGGAATCTGCTACAAGGGTAGGAGACGGCGAGACCCCAACTAAGCTGCTGCGGTTTGTGGGGTCTCC